CAGAGGACCCTGGAAAACATACATCCTGAAAACATCGACGAGAGGCAACGAAGAGGTAAAACAATTTATATACAGCGAAAGAAGACTGCGATTCAAATTAAGGCTATATCATCTCGTATTCATGCCTTCGATAAAGTATTTAAGTTCATATATATCAAATGCCTGAAAAGGAACATCTGAACCACCATGAAATTGTGTCCGGTCAAAGATTGGAAAAATTACAGGACTGGGACCTACGAGATGCCACTTTAAAATACAATCAATTAAAAGAGTTTTTGGAATTTTGCTCTTCTTCGTGTGTTCCATTATAGCCTTTTGGCTAAATATTTGTATGGTTAGGTTAGTGATCTAAGTAAAAGAAACAAACCAGCATCAATCAAACGAACTATTTCGACCCTAATGAACACTTATTATCATCAATCTCCAGATTCGAAATCATAGTACAAGGCTGTTCTCAGTATGAAGGTAAGGATAATTGCAAAAACACAATTTATCACGGACACCTATAGTAAATAAATTGACAGTACAACTAACAGGTTTGAGTATCCACTTAGGCCGAGGACCTGGTCGCCGGTACTTGGTCCCTGCGGTGACTGGAACAGTTTGACTGCGCACGGAGCCAAGTGTTGGCTTATTCGCCGTGATTGCAAAAGTAGTGCAGCAATTCTCTTCAATAGACTTTGGCCGGCCAACTGGCGATAGCTGATCGGAGGTCAAAATCAAATGCATTGCTCCACCACCAGAATCGGCCACTGCATCGGTCTCACCTCCTCCAGCCAAACAGACAGAGGTGCGGGTTGACTGAAATGTAGCCGGAGAATGGGTTTTGAGAGCTGTTTGCTCAAGGAAATGCTCAACCCTGTCTCCGCCTTCAAGCTCGTCAGGCATGTGCTCGAGTCTGTCAGCATTTTGCTGCGGCTTATTAACACCCTTCGGTTTGATTTTTCTCCTTCTATTGGTGCACTTGTCTGCCGTACCAGGAGATTGTGATGATCTTTTGGACGGACTAGCAAAGGGGCGTGTATGGTGCTGGTTTTTTTGCTGCTGTCGCTGGTTGGTGTAGGAGGTGCGCTCAAAAGCGTCATGGAAGCGACGCAACTCCCGTGGAAGGCAATAGGTGCGCGGTACAAAATCGAATTCTGCTCGGCCGAAGCGAGAACGCATCTGGCAGAGGTTGATCCAGAGGCGGTCTTTGCGGCCCAACTGGAAAGAGCCGGGAAAGTGGTTGACTTTTTGGTGTCCGAGCAGATCACGAAAGGAAGTCGCCCGTAAATGTCTGCCGAAGTAGCCAATCCAGTCGCCAGCTAGTGGGAAACAAAACAAAGTCTCAAATGTGAACAAGTGAGAAGAAACAAAATTGTGTGTAGTCGCTGTGAACGACGCCTTAAATATTAATTAGGCTTCTTCTTGATTTCAAATATACATGGTAGTATGAATAAAAATTGGGTTTCGACCACCTTTTTTCTTGGTTTAGTATATTTGTGCTCTATTTCGTGAAGTATGGATACCTGCTCTGATGATGTCTGTCACAGTACAGACGGAAGTTTAGCACAATTTTATCGGGATCGCAGGACGGTAAGCCGAGGACTTCTTTGCACAATTCAACAGCAATCTTCCTTCGGTTTCCAGCGAGAGCACATCACGAATTTCTTCCGACCAACTTTCGCTCCGAAATGGAGTGTCATGCCATAATATGATGAGTAGTGATCAAAACCACTATAGGTTCGTCCGACAAGCATGGAAAAGAAAACATTTTTGTATACCCAAAAGATAAACATGCGCATTGGCCAAATAAAGGACGAGAGGTAGAAAAATAAAACTGAAGATATTTGTTGTCTTTGTGTTTTGGTGAATTATCGTCCAGCCCGGTGTTCTGATCTGACGATGTCCGTCACACGAAAGAAGAAAGTTTAAAAGGATTCATCAAGATCTCAGGGCAATGTGCCGAGGACTTATTGGCACCAATATACATTCCCAGCTAGGGCAATTATCCGGCTTCTCAGCTTCCGGCGAAGCCAACGTATAAATCCCTTGGACTCGCTTAGGCCAGTGATTCACAAAATGTGCGCCGCGGCGCCCTGGGGAGCCGTGAAATATTGTAAAAGCTTCTATTTGAGAAAATGTGCAGTGATTTGCAGGCTCATCCATCACATTAATTATTAAATATTAATTTAATGTTAAAAAAGTATAAAAAAATAATGAAGATACAAGAGTTTTATTTATTTTTATATCTTACTTACGAATAGTCATACTTAGGGTAGGGCGCCGCGACTAGGCCTTAGGCTAAAGTCCCATAACCCAGCTATCCTCTTTCGCATGCCTATCTTATTTTCTCTCATTCTTTAACGCCCTAATTTAATTTGGAGCCGCTTCACTTATTCTCGTCTGAATCACGTAAAGCACGCCCCTATTGTCTAGCAAGTTGACAATCACACCTAACCCCAAGGTGGGAGTATGATTATAAAAAGCCTAAGACTAACAGATATTGGTTTCTTGAAAGAAAAACAGGAAAAACAAACTCGGTTATTTCTTAAAAACAGATATCCAAAAGAAACAATACGACAGGATATACGTGTCGTGATAAACAGATGATAGGATGGGGATTAAATAAATAAAACAAGGGAGACAGAGGAATAACAATTCATATCTCTACCCTCATGCGAACTAGATCGGAAGCTGCTGTCGCTATCAATGAAACGGAATATTATTACAATCATTAGAAGGAAGGGAACGCTCTTCACCAGCTCACCCATACAGCATGAAAAAGTTGAAGAAATCAAATTCAAGGAGTGTAAGCAAAAGTAAATTGGAGGGACAGGGATAACAATCGGTACAATTATTAAAGAACACCTGCGACTCTGCAGGACAATATATACGAAAATGTCGGAGATAGCTGAAGACATTGCCCTTACCAGTCGCACAATTGACTGGAATGCAACGGAAAGATTGGACTTATGGGAGAGAAACACCAGAAAACCAAAGATGAGGGAGTCCGTGAACATCTTCGTTCAAAAAAACCTAATCAACAGAAGATTGGAAGAAGGAAGAACCAGCGAGTATTTCGTTTAGTTTAGGCAGATTTGAAGAAATTCGGTATTTAGCAAGGACAGCTAAAAGGAAGAGCTTGAATAAACGACATATATTCAGCAACAGGAAGAGAATCATGGTCGGACAAATGAAAGTCAAGATAAAGCAATTGCAGTAAGATGATTTAAACCAAGTATCTGCTTCAAAAAGTAACCGGAGTTGGTCTATCTGAGGGACATTAGATTAAAGGACCATAGGCGTCTGAATAATACACCAATAGAGGTGCTAAGCCAAGTCTATTTTATTTCTATGAGTTAGATAAAATATTTAGAGTGAAATCCGAATATATGGGGTTCCTATACGTTGCTCCACCTAATTTAGTGCCCTCTTTACCAACTAGGACACCAAAAGGTCGTCTACTATCCCGTCTGAATTTAATCACCACATCTATTTTATCTATTAGCATAGACAACTCATTCTTTGCTGTTATCAAACAGCACAATAGTCGTCGATATGCCTAACAAATAATTTAATAATCATAAGTGCCTCCTGAATTAGGCAACCCTCTGATTAGAGCCTAAAGTTATCTTATAAAATTGGCGGTATACATGGTTTCACAGCAAAGCCTCATGTTTTTCATACAATTTACCAATGAGGGCAAAATATGTAAAATTCATTACCAAATTCATCCAGTTCATTATCGAATCCTTATCAACATGTGGGGAGAACATGCCGGCCCATGTAGAAGAGGCTATCTG